TCGACATTGTACAATTTTTTCAAAATAATTAAAATAATCTCATCAGGTAAATCATTAAACTCAATCGAGAAATCGCTCATATTTATCTTCATTTATCTAGTTTTCCTAGCTTATATATAATATACGTTTTATTTCTAAATATATTGTGACCGATACCGTCAACGAAAACAATGATACTATTTTTAATAATGTAAATAGATGACGAAGAAATGAATGAAAAAGGGTGTGGGTGTTCATTGAGAAGACGCACACCCAAATCCACACCCACACCCATCCAAGATTCGCACCTGCACAGCGTAAAAATTGAACGTAGAATGTGTTAACAGCACGGATTCATAATCACATGTCAAATAAAAAAACAAAATTTTGCCAAAACCTCGTTTTTGAGATGATCTCATGAAAGTTCTTTTAACAATAAAATGTGAACTAGTCGACTTTGTTTTTGTTTGCTATACATACCGACCACTTCACTTGTACAAAGTGTTGGTGACGATGATAAAATGTGAAGTGAGTCAGTAGCAGAGAATCATTTTCTTCTTCCTACAAAAGCAAAAAAGTACATGACTCTTTTATGGGACGAGATAGAAAAGAGATGTTAATTGTTTACTTCAGACGGCCATGTGACTCTTGAATATGCAAAAACAACTTTCACATTGGGAATTTTTTTTGATTACCTTTTCTTCCTCTCGTTCTGTTTTGCAATTCGAAAGACAACAACAATCATTTACGAAAAAGAGATGTATGTGTGCTACGTCGAAGTATGTTGGACAATTTTTCTTTCTGGATTTACTTATCCTGGTCGATTTAGAATGGCTACAAGCGATGTACTTCATCGATTAATACAAGTTGAATGAGAAGATAAAATGTTGTTGCCCATGGATGGATTACAAACAAAAGGCAGTACCTTAAACATAACAGAAGCTCTCCAGCAAGCAAAACACCGTATTTCTAAGGGTGTAAGAGTGGGAATGTGGATGTGGGTTCGGATTTGTGGGTGTGAGTGTGGGCATGTGAATCTGGGTGTGGTTGTAGGTGTTGATTCAGTTCACCCACACTCATATCTACACCCACACGCCCATCCACCTTACACACTCATCCACTCCACACACCGACATCCATATAACTTACACGTTACACCCACAACCTCAAGATCTTATATTCTTAAACGTGTTTTTACATGTCAAATCAATGCAATCTCTATGAACACATTCACACATAGTTTCACAATGACGTCACGTTTTCTCGATTTTTCTGTCATGTACTCGTTATGTTCTCTAACTCATACACTACCTACATTTTTTTCTTTCCTTCTTTGTCGTGAGTCACACATAAAGTGGTAGTATTAAATCGAGCTGAGTGAAGTGAATGTGCACACATTTTTTGGTAGTCGCAAAAAAAACGGAAAAAATTCATTATTTTACAAGATGTCGAAAATTTTCTTCGCCAAACTGGTAGAGCAAATGTTTTTCTACAACTCTATGTTTTCGGTCAAAAAAAGTGAGCTTCACATGTAGACTCCATATTTGGAACTCACTTACACATCAACTTTTCGTGAAATAATTCATGAGAAACTATTAAGCTGCCCAAACAACTTTTTGTCCTAAAACAGAACACTAGGACATTGAACCCGGAAATGACATTCCTGCAAAGTAAAAATCACACTTCCAGGTCCAAAGTCCTAGTGATCTGTTATGGGAATGGCATTTCTGGATTCAACGTCCTGGTGTTCTATTTTGGGACAAAACGTTGTTTGGGAAGTTTAGTAGTTTCTCATGAATTATTTCGTGAAAAGTTGATACGTAAGTGAGCTTCAAATTTGAAGTTTACGCAGTTTGGAACTCACTTTGTTTGAACTGTGTTTTCAGATTTTGAAAATCTTATCTTGACAAGAAGTTACAGTAGATTTCCCGGAAGTTTCAAGCCGATTTTGCATTCATCCCACCTAGGAGTGAATGCAAACAACAAGCAAAAATGTGTTGAACCGACTGGAGATTTTACATTTACCCCAGTCTACTCAACGCATTTTTGCTTATTGTTTGCATGCGCCCATAGGTGAAGTGCATGTAGACTAACTTTTTCTTTATGGACCTTTTTATAAGCCATAATGTTGAGCTTTCAGCTGAGGTTCTACACTTAAGAATAGTTCAGGCTTGTAGAGAAAACAATGAGCTATTCAATGGTATAATTTTTGACTGAAATACAACTTAAAAAGATCTCAGAAATTATGTTTTATTGGTGTCATATAAAACGGTTGAGAATTGACATTCATTCCCACAGTTACCCTCTTTTTTCGTTCTTCGTTTGCTGCGTAGAGTTGTATCATCACTTTTATATCAGTAGCAATGTTTATTCTTGTTCTGTTTGTTTCCGAAACTGTATGCTTCATTACAGTTCTTTTATTTCATTCGATATAGCGTGCATTATCTTTTTAGGTAGATCACACAAAAGCTTGATATGTCAAATTCGTATGCACATGATTATTTGAAACGTTTCGTTCAACACGATAAAACCAATGCTCGACGTTGCTGCCGATGCAAGAATGTTATTACACAAGGGGCATTGTACCCCTTTTGCTTTAAGTGTGATAAGACGTCTTGTCTCGCTCCCTTATCTCAAGTTGAGCCCTCCTGCTGCGTACCCGTTACATGTGAACAAATTGACCATGATACCCTTGTGCACGTTAAACGTCTGCGCTGGAATGAAAAGTACAATCGTGGGTACTGTACAAAGAGGTGCACTAAGCATAACAGGACATTACTGCATACGTACTGGGAAGGCCGACTGCCGTCCTCACCGGAGCGATTTCCCTACTTTGTTCCAAGCAACTGGTACCGCCTTAGCTTGCAGGTAAATTTCATATCTCTTCCGGATTGGGGCCCAAACTGGCACACGTTGTACCACGGCACACATCCACAGAACATTCACAAGATTGTTGAAAACGGATTTTTGGTTCGCGAATGCCAACATGGATTTCCAGCGCTGTACCTCTCTCCTAGTATTCTTTATTCCTCGCATCCAAGGTACGCACGCGTGGTGGTGCGGGACGGCGTATTCTTCCAGTTTGTGCTTGAGGTGCGGGTTGATGTTAGAAAATTGCAGCCCTTGAAGAAACGTGAAACGCTCAGCGTTGGCACTGCGGGTGACATCGATCCACAGTTCCCGAACAACGAAGATCTTGAGTTCTTATTCAAAGCGAAGAACGGGAAATTTCTAAAACCTCGGGAGGGTGTAGTTGTATCTGGTGTCATGGTTCGGAAAATGGATTTCGATCCTGCATTGCTGCAGTCGAATTGGTGGTGGTGCAAATGGCGTAGTCTGGCGCAACTTCATCGGTGCTTTTACAACGGCATGGAATGCACGGAGAGTACAGACTGATTTTTCTTGATCCTTCAGTATGCTTCCGACTTCAGCTAGGGTGAGGGTGAGAACAACTATCATAATCTAGATTTCACTTCAGCAACGAAGCTCATTAGGGTGTGGGTGGGTGGGGTATCGATGTGGGGATGGGTGATGAGTTGGTATGGCTGTGAGTGACTTCCGATCTGCTTTTGATCGTTATTGGCACCCGCACTTACACTCCATGTTTCACGTATTGAATTTTCTTATTCAGCATTTACTAGCGAATCTAAGGCTTCTCTTTGTTACAATAATGAGAACTTCAATTTGGTTTTTAACAAGATATGTATGAAATAAGCTCAATTCAGGTCGAAGTATTTTGAATTTACTTTAGGAAAAACTATGCTTCTGTTGAAGAAATGAAATAGTGCGAACGAAGCAAAAGCATAAAGCATAATTTTGTGAAACTCACGTATATTTTCGAAGAAAATAGTGTGTATAAGTTTTAAGTTCAAGTTTGTACGGCTTCTCCTCCCCTCTCCCCATTCTAGACACATATCAATGGAAGAGAACATTACAGACAGGTCACCATTACAGACCTCAGCAACCGCGCATAAACAGCTTCAAATTCTATACAATATTTCAATGTTTTCATAATTATTTGAAAAAAAACCTATTTTTCAGTTAACAAATGATGCATAAGAACAACAAGTTTGAAGGATATACGTAAGTTCCACATTTCAGCTCCAAAGGAGCTGCACCGACAAGCTTTTTTAAACAAGCTTATGAATTATTTGGATAAGAGACACGCAAATTTATTCTCAGCAAGCTGTGTCAGAAAATAATGACATATTTATAAAATATTTTCTATCTAATAAAAACCAATCGAACCAACGAGTCCAACCTGTCCGGTCCAATTACTACGCTGCAGTAGGATGTGGGTGTAGATGTGGTTGAAGAGAAGAGCATCTTTTCCAGGCCTCACACCCATACTCATATCTACTCACACTGACATCCACACCCGCACCCTGTCATATCTGATTTTGTAGAGCTTCTTCTGCTGATATCATTTCTGTAAAAAGATTTTCCAATTTTTACCAACAAATGAATTTACTACAGTCATGATACTGGAAAAAGTCAAATTGCTCCAAAATTCCTACGACATTTAATACTTGTTAGTATTTCAAGCTCAGCACCATTTTTGTTGATAAAAATCGAAAATTCTTTTTACTAAAATGATCAGTGAAAATAGTTGTATAAAATAGAATATATCAAAAAGTTTTAAAATAATTTTGTGTCTTTATGATGAATTATCCTTACAATTATTCTACGAAAAGTTAACTTTAGTTGCACAATTTTATCAGGTGTGGGTGTGGATGAAGAGAAGGCGCACACGTCCACATTCACTCACGCCCTCTATTAACTAAGATATTTCTAAATTATTTTGTGTTCTCTTTTTTTTCGATGAATAACGAATAAAAAACGATGTTGATCAGGTTGTCTATTCGTTGTGAAAGTACACAAAATATATTATTGCACAAGATAGTTGAAAGTAGAACGAAAAAACATGCACATGAAAATTATAAGTCTTCATTTCATTGATTTAAGTAAGAGCATATTCTTCGCGTGTACAAACTCCGATCGATTCACGACGTCTTGATCAGATGGCAACAAACTTAACTGATAATGAACTTCGACAAGTGAAATCTTGTGGATTTTTTGTGATCAAATCAGATCAAAGCTTTCTACTCATGAAACATCCACATCGATATGATCTACCAAAAGGACACATGGAACCTGGTGAGATCGAACATCAAACAGCTCTACGAGGTAATCGATCGATTGATGAAATACGAATTTAAGGTATTACGTACAATAGTCAGTATTAATTGTACTAAATTAATGCCGTTACATAAATAATTTTTTTGCTCATTTTCTTCGATAAAAGTCTATATAGAATGGGTAAAAAACAAGAACTCCTATTCTAATTTGTCATTGATCTATAAATTTCTACGTTGAATATTTTGTTGACAAACATTCATTTTCACTATTAAAATCTGAATTATTTTCGTTTGTAGAACTTCTTGAAGAAACAGGCATTCAATCGTCGGATATTGATATTGATCCGAATTTCCGCTTCGAAAATGTAAGTTATTCGGTGGTGTTTACAGGCAAATATTGATTTTATTCTACTTGTAGACTTATTATCCAAAATACAAACGTTTTGGAGGCGAGACGGTGAAGAAAACATTAGTGATATTTCTTGCACGACTGAAATCAGATTCAACAAAAGTAAGTAACGATTTAGTTTAACGAACAAACAATTTGAATTCCTTCATATCTAGGTAATTCCAAGTGAACATCAACATTTTGAATGGTGCACTTGGAATTCATTTCAACCTTCTCGTAAGACCAGTGGAATCGATCAACTGTTGAACAAAGTGCGAGCACATCTCAATGCGCTGTAGAATGTTTATTCATCTAATCTGCAATTCTTTCGAAATCAAAATTTGTTCTTATTGTATCTGTTACAATGCTATTCAGCTCAATCTCTTTTCTTTTCTCTCTCAATTAATATGAAATGTTCTGTTTTGAACCTATGACGATGACTGTACAAAATTTTAGTTCTATTTGATTCAAATGCTTACTTTGAATAGATAACTAAAATATTGGATAGATCTAAGTCAGACTAGTAATGATATAAAAGTATTCATTCTTATGATACGATAATTATCTCAAATATTAGAAAGAGAGAGAGTTCCAATAACCCAGCACTTTGATAAAATGATCAGACACACTAGCATCTACTCGAAGGCTGTGAACATTGCAACATTCTCTATGAACGCCAATGTATAGTAACAAATGCTTTAAGTTGTTCACAAAAGTAAGTTTAGTTAATGGCAGGCCGTATAGTGAACAAAGGAACAGTGCTTGTTATGTTTAAGCATATTATTCGTACGTGCATAGCGAAGTCATTCAGCGCTGCTACAGAATAAACGCATGTGCCAGTTCCGAAAAGGCAAACATCGATTTCTTTCTTGTTGCGATCCGCTTTCGACGTTTTCAAATGGAACGAAGCTCGTTACGTGTAAGTGAGAAGAAAACTTTTCATGGAACAATTCACCGACTCGGAAGAATCCTCAAAATGTAGATATGATCACTGCGTGCATCAAAATATCCCTATATGAATTGAATACTCCTTTACGCAACTCCTCACATAGTCTGCTCAGTAGTTCCATACTGATCGACTTACGCTGCCTTATTACTTGTCCTCGTAATCGACATGTACTCGCAAAACCATCTAAGTTTGGTGGATAGAGTAGATGCGGGTGTGAAAAAGATGAAAACTCACATTCCACAGCGTATGGAGACTGAAGACAATAGCTGTGTCTATGAATTGCCGTACAAATTTAAATATTTTCTTAATGTCAACATTTCTTTTCCCGGTTGGTATGCTTCATAAGGTTTGATACTTGATAATGAATGATAAGCGTCCTTTTCAACATAAATTCTTCAAAATCATCTATCAAAATGTTCCTTTTCTCGAATTCTCATATATACGTAATGATTAACCACAAAAAGGCAAGCAACATTCGTCTATATTGATAAAATTTCGTAATCCTATGTATCTCCATCGGCAGTTGGCACTTGTGAAATATGCTGAATAGTGTCTCTTACAAAACAAACATTCATCGACCTTGTTTATTAAAGTCCTGCATCGGATGCGAATCACTCATGGTAGTAGCAAACAATTTTACCAATAGTGAAGGAGATCGGAATTCCGCTAAATTGATAAATCTCAAGATTGATGAATCGTTTGTTCGCCCGGAAAATTTTCATCAGTATTTTCTTTGGTCGTGGATGTGGATGTGGGGTGTGGGATATAGATGTTAGTTTAACATTGATTAGATACCCATCCACACACACATCCTATATATATGTAGAATTTTCATCAATAATTTCATGATATTGTTAGTTTTTATTGCATGAATTGCTTGAAGATAGATTGTTGTTACTATTTGGTTTAGTCAAGCGAAGAAATTTGATCTTTCGTGAGACGTAAAATCGGTAAATTAGTAATACTATGTAAATATTGTATTGATTGATGCATCAGACATTCATCACAACTTCATGTAAAGTCACTTTTTGAAACATTTTTTTTGGGCTTTTGGCTCAGAGTAGGATCCGGTAAAGTTAGAGTTTCAAGCTCTATAGATTGGTATAAGTTCCTATTAAAACGGCACTCAGAGTAAGTCAGAGTGTATTTTACTAATATCCTTTCTCATGAATTTAAAACAATCCAAACTGATTAGAATATAAAATTGTAATATAAACCTATTCTAGTGAAAGAAAACTAAAACTATAAGAATTAAAAGCATGATTAATTAATGTACTGATGTGTCAATATCATTTGATGTAATCTTTACAAAAAGAGGAAAATCATTTAAAGTAGTAGAAATATTATAACGTTGACCGCCTTTATAGACTTGTTTCGTATAGTAATGTTGCCAGACAAAATTCTGTTGATCGATTACAGGTAAATAAACTGAACGTGATGTAGCTCGATATGTATAAACAGGAGCAACTAAATAATCTGATCCAAACATATATTGATCTTCAGATTGATAACATTCAATATCATCATTAAAATCGTAAAACATTGGTCGTAGAATAGGTGTTCCATTTTGATTAGAAATATTTAAATGATATTCAACATAATCACGTAAAGATTCACGCAATTGAATTATATCAATAATTTGTCTACCATAATTAAATAACCATACTTCATTATGACCACCAGAAGATCCACATTCATTATCTGGCAAAGGTGGATAACGATGACCATGTAAACGAAATAGTGGACAGAATGCTCCAAATTGAAACCATCTCAATATTAATTCTTGAAATTCATTATCATCTAAACCCACAGAACGATAACCACCAATATCTGTTGTCCACCAATAAATTCCAGATAAAGCAACATTTTGTGCCACTTTAATTTGTTTTAATAATTCTTCCCACGATGAATCAATATCACCGCTCCACACTGCTACGTTCATCAAATGGCTACCTATCCATGCTTGTCTACTTAACATAATTATTTCTTCTTCCTTTTCTTCTCTTAGTCCATCCCAAAACATTCGTTGATGTTCTCTTGCCCATACCATTGCGATTTCATCATCATGTCGACCATACCACCATTGTAAGTCAGGTCGAGTATTTTGTGGTTCATCAGCATCTAACCAATAAATTTTGATATCATAAGCAAAATAATTCTCTTTTATTCTATTCCATATATATTGCCGTGTAGTTGGATTAAATTGATCGGGAATATAATAATAAAAACGATTAATTAGACCTGTTGTTGGTAAAACACTTCCATTAGCATCATGAGTCAATAAATCTGTTGTATTCATAATCATAAAATTTTCAGAGTTTTCTGCTACATGAGGCCAAATAGATACCATTAATTTCATTCCGTATGATTTTAATTCATTCATCATTTGTGGTATATTTGGCCAACATGTACTATTAAATTTCCAATCACCAAATGTCGTCCAATGAAAGTAATCGATGACAATAACACTCACTGGTATTTGACGATCATAATAACCTTTTGCTACATCTAATAATTCGTTTTGAGTACGATAACGATTTTTACAATGCCAAAAGCCCGAAGCAAAATGTGGTAACGGATTTGGATGACCAATAACATCAACATAATTTTTCATAATAATAGAATAGAATGATGAAGAAAGAGTTTTCTCTTTAGGTATTGTCGTAATCCATAAATCAAGTTGATGTGTAGCATTTGCAGTCCACATGATTTCTGTATCGTTATGAACATCAAATGAACCATAACCTGGTTGATTCCAAAGAAATCCAAAACCTGATGTATGTATATACCATGGAATTGTTATATCACCATTTGTTGGTGCAGTTGATGAAAAAACAAATGGCAAATAAAAATTATGATATGGCAATGTTAGATTGTGACCATAATGATGTTGTCCTAAACCATATAGATATCCATTTTGAACATGGGTATAAATCAATGATAATTTGTAAAGGGTAAAAATAGGTGAATAAATAGAGACTGGATAATTATATGGCAAAAATTTAATTGATTGTACTTGAATGAGAATGAGTCCATCTGATGAACGTTGAATTGACCATGTTTCATTATCGTCATTGATGATAAATTCAATATTACCATTAATAAATGTATTTCTATTTGGTTGTTGACAATCTTCTTTGTTGAGTGTTGGTTGTTCTGGAAGTAATGCTTGATAGTCAGGCGTCTGTATAATTACATCTGGACTAAGACGTATTCGAATACTATCAGAACCCCATGATTCTACTTGTAATTGTTGTTTCAGACCATTCGAATATATATTTGTAGTAAATGTACAAAGTGATGCGTCATGACATGAAATTAACTGAAAGATAAGCAGAATAATAAATTTATAAGAATGTTTATAGATGATCGATATCAACATTGTGAACCGATTGTACTAAATAAAAAGATACGGTTAAATAAAAACTTCTATAAATAATAAGAAAAGAGAAAAAAGTCACAGGTTACTAGCCTTTTACGTGTCAGGCCCATTATCATCATTTTTTCCATTATCTTCCTTCTCATTCAGTCTCACGGGCCAAAACACGTGTAAATGAACGCAAAAGAAAAATTAGATATGAATTCTATGCTGGAAAGCAAACAAAAAATCTCTCCCTAATTGTTATTATGAATCATCGGAATGTCGTTGTAGCTTAATGAAGGTACGAAACTGTATCGAATGCAAATATCAAAATTAAAAAGATTCATTGTATTGATATACCATTTTCATGTAAGATTTTCATCAATGACAGTATTCAAAAATGATTTCATCTTATATAATATTATATTAAAAAAAGTCTGGTGATCTTGTGCCGATAAGCTTATAACCCTTACACTATATCTCACCTTTCACTGAAGTATCCTCAACGAATACGATTTCATATTTTAATCATCCTAATCGAATTACAAGCGAGCGAAGTCATATCAATGAAGTGATCACCTTCCTCTCAACATAAAAGTTAGAAGCTTATGGATACAATGTTTGATCAATAAAAAGTAAATAGTACCACACTAGATTTATCCAATTGAGAGAGATCCATGTAGAGTAATAACAAGAAAGAACTCATGAATATAAGAACTTGTTTTTTGCTTGAGTCATTCATAAGTGAAATTCGAGATGGAAAGTCTTATTCAATGTTTGAAAATTTCAATAGATCAAAAACAAATGAACTTCATTCGCTCGATTCATGGTGAAATAGAAACTACTAACAATTCAAATAAATCTCAGTTAAGCAGGAAATAATGGAAAAATTTATTTTCATCAGTGAATACTCACCTTAGTTTCTCTTCTCTAATGCTTAATCTTCGTTTATATGATATCTGCTATATTGACGTTGAAAATAGTTCTCC